TCAGTCCTAGTCCTCTTCCAGGCCTTGTGCTCTTCTCTTGCCCTGACCCAGCCACTCCCAGGCTTCTCGTACTCCTAAGGATCCCTGTTCCCACTAGTAGAAACTGGCTTTCTGTTTTCTTTGGAACGCCCCTCCATTATCATCTTAGGTTGCCTTCTCCTACCTGTCTCTCCCCAAGTTTAACTTGTCTTCTCTGACGTGCTGCCGTCTACTGCCTGGTGTTGGGGCTCCCCTGGTCCAGCTTCAGAGGGGCTCCTGCCTCCATCACCCCTCCTTGGTCTCCTCTTCCTTCACTTCTGCCCTTCTGCTCTAGCCCCAGGGAGCAAAAAAGTCCTGTGATTTCCAGGTGACAGGGAATAGCTGGCCCTGTCAGGATCACATTTAATCAATTCCATGTGTGTAGGTGACTCATTCACAGAAGTTACCTCTCCCCTTAGTTGGGAGCACCTGTGCACATGTGCGTATGTTGCTGTTTATGTAGCGTGTCTGTGTCTGTGTGTACGTGTGTCTGAGTCTGTGTCTGTGTATATACGTGTCTGTCTGCGTCAGTGTGTATGTGTGTCTGTGTCTGTGTATAGGTATGTCTCTATTTAGTGCTACCTGGGTAGCTCATAGTTGTTAAAGCTGCTGCTGTGTGCACACGGGGCTTCCAGCAATTTCTAAGGAATACAATAGGGAATTCATCCTCAATACATACACCACTCCAAAGCTCTCCAAGGTGCCTGTAACTAAGCCACCTAAGTTAGTATTTTAAAAAAGTTTTAAAATTTATTTTGCATGGAAGAACCAGGCAATAAGCCAAAGATGTGGGAGTTGAGAGGATTCACCAGAGACAGAGTAAGGGGGTGGAAAAGGCAGATTGACTGAAATATACTGCTGAGGGGAGCAGAGGAGAGACAGGAGAGGTCTGACTCGGCAGCAACATGCCTTCTTCAGCAGGAACTAGCAGGAAGGTGGCAAGAACAGCCTCAGGGGACCACTTTCTGCCCAAGAACACAGAGCTCTATCAAAGAATCGACATGGAGGGATGCTGAAATGAACTGTCTGGGAAAAGCTGGCACAGAAATAAATGATGGCAGCTTAATGGCTGGTTTCCCCATTCAGAAAAAATGTGGTGAAGTCTGCAGCATCACGTTGAATTAGGGATGCAGGTTAAAGGGTCCGATCTACCTGGGTTTAAATTCTGGCTCTGCTTCCTACAAGCTACATAACATCAACTCCTCGCATACCCAGAGAGGGTGTGTGCCGACAACAGCGACTCCACACATACATGGACACCACGTTCTTCATTCCTTATGGATGGCTCTTCCTTGCAGGGAATATAGCCTTTCTTTGGTATTCAGCCTGAATCCTGCGTCTTCCAGTTAATTATTCTTGCAAAGGCTTACTTTCACTGACTACAGTCATTTCAACTCTCTGCTGGCTAGATCTCACACATTACCAAGCTCGGGGAGGAGCAGGTGCAACCACCCGGTTAAACACAGCTGGCGTCAATTAAAGCTGCACGTCTAATTGGTCTTATTAAATTCGCATGAAAGAGAGATGGTGCTGGCACAAAGCACTCATTGTCATTTTCCTGCCCACAGGGCACCTTTCTTAGGACTGATGTGAGAGCATAACTTCCCCACTTCGGATCTGCTTTTGACAGAACTCCAGGGGTTGCTGTGTAACAAACCTCCCCAGAACTTACTGGATTAAACCAGTCGCCATGTTATTTTCTGAAATTGGCTCCAGGAGTTCTGCTCCACACAGCATACCCTAGAGGCATAACTGTGCTGGGATGTTAGGGGGTCTCAGCACACCTCTTGAGCTTGGTGAGGCAGCTGGAAGACTGGGGCCCCAGGCCCCCCTCTTGTGTCATTTAAGGGTAACCCCACTCCACATGACCTCACTGGTCAGGGTCCCCGCAGTTGGTCACTCCAACTGGATAGCCAGGCTTTTTCACATGGTGACTTAGGGGTCCCCAAAGGGCAAACACAGAAGCTACCAGGTCTTCTTAGGCTCAGGCCCAGAGCTGGCAATGTCACTTTCTCACATTCTGTCAGTGAAAGTAAGTCCAAACCATCCCAGACACTCTAGAAGGGGATGGTATGAGGGTCTGAGTGCCAAGAGATGGGCTTACTGCGCTCATCTTATAAGTTCTCTATCCTGGCTCATTAGGCAAAGAGAAAATGGGCTATGGAATGGGCCCCAGTCTGCTTCTTTAACAGTAAGGTCAGGTAGAACAAAAGTCATAACTTTTGGGCAGTGAGATTCTGGCATTAGTTCTAATACCTCCTCGTGAAGGAGTTGGAGGAGAAATTCATCAGAGGCAGTTTAGATAAAGACTCCTCCTTTATCCCTTTGGAGACATTTCGTTCATTTTCTTGCTGTGTTATCTGCTGAGCTTTTCCCGTGATTTATGTGACATACTGTGCTTGTCATATACCTTCTGGGGAACATCATTTTTACGGATTGATGAGGAACCTCATCTCATTCTCTTCTGCTGTCGGATACTCATAATTTATATGCAGAATCTCTGCAGACTCCCTTCCTAGCCCCGTATTCTACTTTTCTAATGGCTCCAGAATGATGCTGGACACTGAAGAGGTTTGTTCTCCAATGTTCATACTGAAACAATACCTCGAGCATAAAACTGTCTCTTCCTGTGATGCCCTTTGATTTTGGAAACCCCTGTGTCTGTAAGCAGGAAAAGGCTCTTATATATATATGTGTGTGTGTGGGTGTGTGTATTTAAAAGATTTATTTATTTATGTATACAGAACTGGGGAACAGGCCAGGTGGCGAGAGGATTCACCAGAGACAGAATGGGGAGCAGAACAGGCAGATCAATGAAGCACACTGCTGAGGGGAGCAGCAGGCAGGTCAGGAGAGGTCTGCCTCACCATGTGGGTGACCTCCGGGGCTGGGGATCAAACTCATGCTGAAGTGGCTTTAGCTTCTTAGTGCTATCTGTGCTTTAACCTGCTGTGCCACCAGGGAATGCCCTATCTCAGGGAAGTTTAAATATATTTACATTGAATTATCAGCCTAGTTGCTGTTTCCATCATCTTATCTTGTGTTTTGTATTTGTATGAACTTTTCAGTTTATTTTAAATCACTATAGTTAGATTTTTTTTCCTTTCTAAATTATGCCCTCTATTTCTAGACTTTTAGGGGTTCTTTGGGGTATTTAACAAGCATATTTAGTGTATTAAAATCTGAGTTGGGGTGCTCCCTGGTGGCGCAGTGGGTTAAAGCACAGCACTAAGAAGATAAAGCTACATTAGCATGAGTTCAATCCCCTGCCCCGGAGGTGACCCACATGGTGTGGCAGACCTCCGGCCCACCCGCTGCTCCCCTCAGCAGTGTACTTCCTCCATCTGCCTGTTCTGCTCCCCACTCTGCCTCTGGTGAATCCTTTCTCTGCCCCTGCACCTCTGGCCTGTACCCCAGTTCTGGATGCATAAATAAATAAATCTTAAAAAAAAAAGAACTTAGTCTATATAAAAAAAATCTGAGTTATTGTCTTTTTCTTCCCTCAATAATACATAACCTTAGAAAATTTGTACAGTGATGATTCATCCTCTGATTTATATGTTGCACATTTCAGTTGTGTTTTGCTTTTTCTAACTCTCGAGGCAGATTTATTATTCTTTATATAGCCATTTTTGTTCAGATTTTATAGTCAATTTTCTATTCATTTTGCAAATATGCTTCATCAATTTTATGGTCATTTGCTCTTACTACTTCAAACTCATCTGCTCTTTATTTAAATGTACTCTGTGTTTGACGAGTCAGGAGGTCTCTGCGTGTCTAATTCTGCTGTAAGTCATTTCTGCTGGTGCTTGCTCATGGTGCCATGTTAGTCTTTTGATTTATGATTCATGAGCTTTTGCTCATGCTTCTTGAAAATGTCCTGTCTGTGTGCTTAGAAGCAAAGTGAGCTCTCTAGAGAGGAGAAATTGCACCTGCTTCTGTGGCTGGCTGGGAGTGCACACAAACCAAGATCATTTTCAATCAAATCCTTGACTTGAGTTTTTTGTGAACACCCAAAAAATAGATTTTGCCTGCAACCTAGAAGAGGTCAGGACTATGATTTGATAAATCAGGGGGAGGCGGGGGAGACCCCCTCCCGACCTGCTCATTTCAAGTTTTCAGTCAGCTACTTTATTTGCAATGTTCTGGAGGGCTGGGACTGGGGGATACAGATTAATTTCTAATCAGTCTTTATAGGTGAATCTGTCAGGTTGCATCTTCATACAACTGGAAACAAATTTCTATGCTGAAATTTATGGGAAATTTTATTTTGGTTTTAGGAAACATAACATCCTCCATGGTGTGGCGGCCCTTGGCAGTAGTGAGCAGGTTTCTCCCATCATCCTCATCATCCTCAGTGCCTCTTCCTAGTAGAATCTAAGTTCCCCAGTCCAGTGCGACTGTCTGGGGAGGCCCTCTGGGGTGCAGCCCCACTGGTGGGCACAAGGTCTCTGGTTATTTCTCTAACACCTAGGTTCATGGGAACCCAGCCACTACTGCCCTGCATGGTGAGACGACACCTCTCCCCTTGTCTGGAAAGCCTCTTTCGGCTTTCCCAGCTGTCTTTCAGAGCTTCGATCATGACTATCTATGGGGTCAGGCCCCTGGAGTCTTCCCAGTCCTACAAGTGGCCTGTTTGGTGGATGGTTCTTTGCTCAGGCCTTTGAACGGAGCCGGTGGCCTCCTCATCTCAATCCATTCAAGTATCACTTCAGTCATCCAGCCTGGAAAGGCTTTTGTTTTTCATCCTCATTTCTCCTCTTTACCCTTCTGTCTCCCATGTTCTCGTTATTATGTTTTACTCCAAGGCCCTATTGTTGACTACAAAATGACATGCTATATCCCTCCTCTTAACGATTCCAGCCCTCACACCCATTTCTTCCATAAGGGGTTGGCCCTCGGGTGCTAAGAACCAGCTGCGAGCATGCACGGGGCCCCTGTTCAGCCCTCTGAGTGGCTATGGATTTCTCCTTCTAGTCCAAGAGGCCTGGAAGAAGTAAACCTGGAGGTGGGACCTGGAGAAAGCTGGAACCATGCTGACCTTGTGCACAGCAAAGAAGCAGATGCCATTTCTGGAAAGCCCACCATTGATGTGGATGAGGAAGAGGGGGCCCCCCAAATCTGCCGCGTATGTGGGGACAAGGCCACTGGTTATCACTTCAATGTCATGACATGTGAAGGATGCAAGGGCTTTTTCAGGTAAATTCATCTGAACACTAGAACCAAGGTTTACCCTATAGTCCCCCCAAAGACTGTTTCCTTGTTAGCATGTCAGGGGCTAGAGGCCCAGTTGCTGGTCCCCCAAACCCAGGGAGGCACTGCAGCAACTCTGTGTCCCTGGATAGGCCCAGAGTTTAAGGGAGAAGCAAAGGTCTGTGTGGCATCAGCAGTTTGAGGTAATGGACACCCTCC